ATTGGTGTAAACTATACACCTGATTAATGATGTTTTCCCTTTAATTAATTTATTAATAATATTAATTGGGCCACATTCATTGGTCTTACAAATCGTACAAGACTAGTTTATGCTCTCTATCTGGGAGTTCCATAGTTGATATTGGACCATAGATTTGTGTGGTGTGCTTCTTCACCAGTGTTGCTGTACCTCCAAAAAATTTATGGTCCAATCAAAGGAGTTGATATCAGAAGAAAATCCCCTACTATACAAAGAATTTACAGTAAGTGAATATTTCACTAAGTTTTACTTCAAGCTACTGATAAATCTGGGCTTGAGGATTTCAAGTTATAAGGCTAGCAATTTCTGCTTAGCAAGAATGCAGAAATGATGCCATTCCATAGCAAGCACAAGTTGTATAATATGTAATACGTACTCTTGTGTACCTCCCGTTACCAAGAATATAACTGCATTTTCCGTGTAACAACAAACTAAGTTTCGTTTCTTCATAAAATCGGAGCAACCAAAAAAATTCACAATCTTATTCAATTGGCTAGCAGATAATTGGAAAACAGACTGTTGTTTACCGAAATATCCACGTTATCTTGAACGGCGTGAGATCAAATTGTCAAATTCAGTTATTTTTAGCAGTTAATAGTAGTTAAACATTGTTGCATTATAAACAAAGAAACACACATTATCAAGCATTTATTCAACACAAATTTCAAATATTATAGCTATTACATAAAGAGCAATTATCATGTCCAGGACAATTGCATTTTCAATTATTTTCCCTTGCCATTTCATACTTTGCAATAATTGATAAGAAAATTCTCATCAAGTCCAGCAGTAACAAAGTTCATTACATAATCCCTCAGCAGGACCTCTTTGTATACGGGAGGATTTTCTTCTGATATTAACTCTTTGATGGGGCCATAGAAAACCTTATCTTTGTTTATAGGTCCAGAGAAAAAGCATGCCACGGAAATTCTTGGCCCAAGATGATTAGCAACCACTCTGTGCTTATTGCTTCTGAATTTTCCGTTGGATACCAACTATATGCCAAAAGTTAAACGGGAAAAAACATAAGTAAAAATGGCCAACAATCTAGCAAAAAGGAATTTGGAAACAAACACAAGCAAACACAATTATTCATGGCGGTTCACCCTCAATGTGAGGGCTACCTCACACCTATTGACCTCAATGCACAGGTCGATCCCTGTTCAGAGTTTAAAAATGTATGTATGTATGTATGTACGTACGTATCCATGTATGTATACCTGGAGAAGATCCCCAACGTTAATTACTAATGCTCCATGAATGGGTTGAACATCAATCCATTGGTTTTCAGAGAAAATCTGGAGGCCGTTGATTTGATTTTGCAGAAGAATGGTGAGAAATCCAGGATCTGAATGCTTTGCGGTTCCCAGAGTGAGTTCTGGCTCAGGGCACGCTGGATAATAGTGACTAACAAGGCGGTGCCCTTGAGAGCAGTCCATGTTTTTTAGGTGCTCCGGTTCGAGTCCAAGAGCCTCGGATAATAATGCAAACAGAATATTTCCCAATTCTTCGACATGTTTTGAGTACTCTATAGCTGACTTCCTGTATAATTAATAGCGCGTTTGATAAGGTCTATTGTATAGTAATAACCTTTATTAAGGAAAAGAATCTAAATCTCATTAACTATAATGTTTAGTATTTTTCGAGTACTAGAAACCAAACATGCGCTAAATGTATAAACATATAAATCCACTTGACATGCTAACTATATCGGATTTAATCAAATAACTAATTTTCACGAACTTTATATTCTTTATTAAAAAATGAAACAGCTTTTAACGACATCAAACCTGAAAATGTATAAACGAACCACAGGTAACAGATATATTCATGAACCACTGAATTACGTACCCAAGAATGATTTTTATGAACTTTATATATTCAAGTATAGCACAAGAGGTTTCATTTTTTGGTGGCGAGGACGAAGCTGCCATCAAATTAAGTACATACCTACATAAAGCTGGCAATTCCTCGGAATCGTTTTGATGAGGATCTGAAAATGACAAAGTCAACGTGTCCCTCCAGCTAGCAGTCCTTGTTGAGAACAGATCATAATTGCTGTTAAATCTTACGCTTCTCGTATTATCCCTCGTGTAGTATTTCTTTTTCTCTTCAACATCCTGATCATTGAATTTCTGTATTCCGTCAAGCATCTCATCAATCACATTTAAGGGTATCCCGTGATTCACCACCTGAAAAAATCCCCATGTTTCGGATGCAATTCTTACTTCTTCCACCATCTGTTCATGCCGGTCGACTTCATCCAGACCACCCATATCAATCACAGGAACTTCAATTTGAGCCCTCTTGTAATTCAACTCTTCTTCCAGTTCTTCAGCAGGTCTTACAAAAATCTTGGGAATTTTTTGCAATCCAGCATCAGTTAATCCCTTTACACCAGCTTTTGTTTCATCAAAAGCCTTCAATTCTTGCATTCTGTCATATTCTTGGGCACCTGATGCAACCATTGTTTCTGCCATTAGATCCAAATTATCGTTGGATTGCCTCTGTTTGATCCTTGCACTGGTAATGACTTGTTAAAACATATAATTCTTTATATTCAAACTGGATATTTATTGCAAGATGTGGGGATTTCTTAATGGAAAATAATATAGCATTAGTCTAACAACTAGGACTTTGTAATTCTTGACATTATAAAAACATGGATTATCAGTTTGAGTGGAAAAGTAGTTCGCTTAGCTCATCACGCTTGAATTAATATTCTCAGTTGATGAGAAGAGTCGACTTTTTTGTTTGCATTGCCTCAATAGGCACGTGCAAAGTTATATTTTATGGAGGTTTATCTTGGAAAGTTACATGACGATGTCTTTCTAATAATTTATTATTTCTAATAATTTATCCCCAATTTTGTACCAATGTTACTACCCATAAACTTTTTTAACATTTGACATCCTCAATCTTTGAGAAATGTAGCAAAACTCATTCCTCCACATTTTGGATATGCAAATGATGAATTTGCCATGTCCTTAAAATATATACGAAAGAAGCAGTAAATAAATAAACAAATAAAGTTAAAATACCAGCAAGGGTGCCAAATATTTTCAAAAATTAAAAGTGGATCTTTTTCTCCAACCATCTAGTATGTCGAGCACAATCGAGAATCCGACTAGCCTCCTAAGCCATCCGATTAACCATGGGTTTCTACAAGTTTTTGTTAGGTTGAATCGAGGATCTACAGAGTGGGCAGTCAAAGTAAGACTGAAGCCACATGTTTATACAATCAACGTGAAAATAGTGCTTGCATTCAGGATAAGATCTGACCTTTCTTATTGTCTTCAAATTTGGATATGCATAGAGTACATTCCAATGCAAGGTCGTGAATTTTTTATTCACAAATATAGGTGGAGTGATTTCAAGATGCAGGCGTCGAGACTCCATCATAAACACACCAATAAGAAGTTAAACATTTCGGAGGAAATTAGTTGAGGGTAAATTAGTAACGTTTTACAAAGATTGAGGACGAAAGTGTAAAAAATCCTATTCATTTAGACATTTTGTTATTCGGTAGCCCTACAAATCTACAATATATAAAAAGGAGGGATTGAGAAAACAATTTTGATTACCAATTTTACCCTTACATAATTAGGTACACGTAACATGTCCAATATACCTTTATTTATCCTTATATCTTCAATTTTCCATTTTACCCTTACATTTTTATGTTTATGGTCA